GGCTTAATTTTTCATAGCACAAAATAGAGTTGTAAATGATCGATAAGTTTCTAACTAGTGTCGAAAAAATCGTTTATGTATTGATTGTCCTTTTGAGATCCAATTTGTGAGAAGTCTTCAGAAAGATATATCATGTTATATTCATTTACATGTATCAAGTTCTTCAAAGATGGCGAAATCATCTTCAAGTACAACTAGAAGAGATCTTTGTAAACGAAATTTTTATCGAATCTGGCAAGTCTATACCATGAAAAAGTTGTCCATTTTGAAGCCTGTTTCGAGCATCGCAGTTTTTACCTTTCTTTTCAATCTATAGCCTGCTGCCATATCGGTATTGAATTAGACTGATCAGAACTGTTGTTCAAAGTCTATAAGTATTATGACTGTGAGATATAAAAAGAAACAATGTTTTTCCTTAGACTAGTCACCACAGAGACTTTTATTTCTAGAAATAAACAATATATACGACTCCTTTTGCGTGTATCTTATTTTCAATTGTCTTGTTTTTCAAAACATCCAAATTTCCTATCATACCATGACTTAGATAACTGGCTGACATGTACGTGTTTAGTGCCTGTGCTGATAAAATCTATCACTCTCATAATCAGACTTATAAAATCATGGATAATACTCGTATCCAAAAACGTAATCGCCATTGTGATGCGAAGCGAAGAATTTCTAGGGCGTGGGTGTGGCTTTAGATCAGAAGAAAAGGAGAACAATAACTTTCTTAATTTTCACAATGCTTTCTTCGCATCCGTTTATATGCTATTTAACAAAAAGAAAAGTTCCTTTCTTCACGAATGATACTAATATATTATTCAACGTATCTAAATAATTTACTTTATGGTGAAGATTGATATTGAAATATTTGTAGATTTTTTTTTTCTAAAAAACCAATAACAAGATTAAATTGATATTCTAACTTGTGAGTTAGTTGTAAATGAAGATTAGAGAAAAAAGGTTTTGTCTAGTCGTTTATAAGCTGTTGGATGTTCATCCGACTTGAATTGACACCTTTTTTCTGTTTTTTTTCTATCGTTGTTGAGGAAAATGATGGTATTGTCGACAAGTTTATTTTCAATCGGAAAAGAGATTTAGTTTTGATGAAGCGGAAAAAATAAAATATATTAAGTAAAAAACAGCGAAACTTTTATTTAACAAAAAACCTTTTTTTTAAATCTGAATGTCTCTTCTTGCCGATAGTTGGTTGATCATTATTATCATTCGATGATGAATCAATTTGATCTAATTCATCTATTGTTGCATTTCCATATTCTCGAATTATTTTACAATCTTGTTTTACTGTTGTATAATGATTTTTGTATATTTTCATTTTGATTTGCTGATTATTGAATTTGTTTTTCAATAACACATCTTCCCGTTGGTGTTGTTTCTCGTTTCATTGTTGTTATTATAACAGTTCTTGAAAATGCTTCATTAAGACCATGTTTTTCTATAGTAGAATCAAGATTTTCATCACCATAATGATTATCTACAAAAGATATTAATTTAAGAAAATTCGTTTTTAGAATAGGTTTTCATTTTTTT